CTCATTCCTTTGTCATTCATCGTGGAGAAGTTGGACCTTATATTCAAGAACTTACAACTGATTTCCGAAAAGTGATGGAGCCATTCACTGCATCATCTCTCCATGTAAGTTAATATTTAGATTTGCTGAAATTGATAAATCACTTTATATGCTGACTAGAATAATTTTAGTCTAGAATCATTAATTTTAGCTTGGGAGAGACAGTGAGATTCTCGGTAAGATCATTGAAGATTCTCTCATTAATCTTTAAGACTTGAAGATAGATTACGATAGTCAAATCCTTGTCTTCAATATGTTTTTACCATTGAAGCTTAATTCACCGATGAACATTTTATCTATGCCACAGAAATCTTCAAATTTATATTATGATGAAAGGACAGTTATTTTGAACCTCAACTGTACAATTTAATTTTACTTTTCTAGGTGCGGAAGAGTAATCGGGTGAAAGATTTTGCATCTGTGGCAGCTCCTCTTCATGTCACGCATTTATGTATGTTCACAAATTCAAAAGAAAAAGGACCAAATCTCCGGATAGCCCACTTACCCCAAGGGCCAACTCTCACCTTTAAAATAAATAAATACACCTTTGCTAGGAACGTTCTGTCATCTCTCACCAAACCAAATATTTGTGAGAAAATGTATGCTCACTCCCCACTTATAGTCTTAAATAACTTTGTGGGAGAGGGACTTCATATCAAGTTGATGGCAACGATGTTTCAAAATATGTTCCCAGCTTTAAATATTTCCAAGGTTTGTTGAAAACTGGTTTCAATGTCTTTCTTTCGTCAAATATCTTCTTGTCCCAGTGTTTCTGTTTTATCTAATTAAATACTTTGACATTTGTTTCAAAATTATTTGCATTGAAATTAGGTATGATGAAAACCTACCAAATTTTACCCAGTTCTCGGAAATGATGTGTTTTCCAGGTTAAAATATCGATGACCGAAGTGCCAAACCATGTATCTCAGTTTTCAATGTGGTAGACTTCCTGTCATACTTTATTTTTTCTTTGAAAAACCAGTCATCGTAATTTCTTGAAAACTTCCTTGATATTCCCTCTCGGTTAAGTAGTAGGATATTTTGTAAAAAATACAACCTATACAGTTGGCTTGTCTCTTTTCAAAAACATAAAGTATGAGTGGAAATTTTAAAATACTGGAATAAAGATTTGTGGTTTCACACTTCGGCCGTTGATATATCTCTTTTACCAATTCGTCCTCATATCTAGCTTTTTTTTTCTACCATCATTTATTAGCTCAGGAGTTGATTTAATTGCATTATTGCCCCACAAGGAAAGCTTCTTTGTAAATTTATTTCAATTTTTGCTTGGTTCTGATGACTTTTTATCAAGTTTTTGATGTGAATACCTTCTTGATCTTGTAGCTCTAACTTACATTCATCTTGTTTCAGGTAAATCTGAAAGAAATTCAAAGGTGTGTTTTAATAAATTATGACCCTAACACGGAAACAATTGAGTTTCGCCACTATGCTATTAAAGTGGTCCCGGTCGGATTAGCTAAAGGAGTAAAAAAATTGGTGCAGAATAAAATTCCTAATTTAGCAAAAATGGAGGATATTTCTGAATTAATAACCAAGTAAGTTTTCTGAATTTTTACTGGTAATAGGGTTACCGCTGTCAGAGAATTTCAACAAGCCAGAGAAAGCCTATATATGTCAGAGAAAATGACAAAAGTGTCCGGGAAAAATTGTAAAGTCACCTTTATTTCTCCTTCCATTGTTAAGTCACCTCCCTATAATGAGTTTGACGTTTTGATGGACACATCTTGTGTGGAAATTATCTCAAATTTGGGTTCTTTTACCATCTAGCATATTTTCGATTGTCAGAGAATTTTACCAAAATGTATCAAGGAAATACATTTTCTGAATGCTGTGGTAACCCTGTTGTACCTTCTTTTTTGCCCTTTCTCTGAACACTTTCCCAGTTTTTCAGAGTACTATAATTTTTATTTCTATTTACGATGAGTGTTATTTTTTAGTGTTAAATGCATTATTTCACCACCTGCAGAAAAGTCTGCGTAAGAAATGCTTAATGAGTTATCATGCAAAAAAAATTGTAAGCTCAACTGGTACTGAATGAAAGCTCTATTGTTATCGTTAAAAAATGTATTTTATTATTCGCTTACTTTTAGTCTCTGGCTAAAAAGCACAATCTTTTAATACAACTGGAAGACATAAAAGAATGCACTTGTAATTAGTTTTAGTCTTGTGAATTTTCCCTCAATTAAGTTCTTACTTTTTACCACTACTTTGACAGGCCCAGTCAACTATCTGAAAGTGAATTTGAAGATGATCCAAACAGTCATGTTTCCTTACCTGAACATTCATCTTTCCGTGGTGGCAATGTTGGCAATAAAACCTCATCTATTCGATTGTCAGAACTTGGACCAAGAATAACCTTCCAGGTTTGATATGCATTGAGTGCTTTTTTAATGTAAAATATTTCCTAAAATATTTTCCCTGGAGACAAATATAAAGAAAAAAATAGCTTCTCTATAATGAAAATTCCAATCAGTGGCTTTCCCTGACTGCAAGCGCACCATGTTGAATTGACTGTTGCCCCTAAGCACATGGAAAATTTTCCGAGCAATTTCCAGTTTACTCTAAGTATTCTTAGGATTAATATTGTAGACGTCTGCAAGTTTAGTAATTATTGCACTCAGAATTTTGTTTCTGTTGCAAAAAGCTTGGGACGTCAACACATTTTCCTTAACGGATCGCATCTTTTATCGTACAGAACTGAACATTTTGTAGTTTTTTATGACTACTTTTTTTTATATATTTTGTTCTAAAAATATAAATGTATTTTCTGCTGAATTTCTAGGCAGACTTTCAGAAAAAGATGCACTTCTCCTGAATTGTTCCTCGAAGGATGCCAGTGGCATGACTGAAAATATCATATGAAGACTTCGTGTTATCTCCTACTTTTCTCCTGTATCATTTTTCCGAGCATTTAAATTCAGTCTAATCAAAGCTTTATTACATCTAAACTCTTGCCATTATTATCTCACGTTTTGACGAAATTCAATTTCTTACCGCTGTCTTTTTTTTTAGCTTGTAAAAGTTGAAGCTGGTTTGTTAACGGGTGAAGTTCTGTACCATCGATTTGTTTCTAAATCAGAAGAGGAGAAAGAAAGAATTCGACAGCAGCTACAGCTCAAAAAGTAAGATACTTTTCTGCCGTCTATCTGTTAATAAAATAGAGTTATGGAACTCTTGCTCTTTTTTATTTAAAAACTAATGATCACTCATTTTCTCTTAAAGTGCTAAGAAATTTTTTCAGGCTTTTAATTGGCTCAGAAGCTTTTGCAATATTTAAGAAGTCGAAACTAACATTTCAATTGAAAATTGAACGTTATGAATCGATTTACCTCAATTCACTCTGTATGCTTCGAAAAGATGAATTTCAAAAAAATGGGTGCCATTGACCCGTCAATATTGATATTAGAAAACTGTGTTACCTAGATGTTTTAATTTTAGTTGTTTTTTCTTCCCTAGGGAGTTGAAAGCCAGAAGAAGAGCAGAACAAGAGGCCCATGTTT